ACTTATCCCAGTTCTGTCTTTCTGTCAGTCAACCTGGTGGGTCTTGCTATTCCCTTCTATTGTACCGCACCGTCTGCTTCACCCAAATGGAGTTTCACCGCGTTTCAAAGCCAGGTCAGATAGCCTCGGTGGGCCTCACGTAATGGTCACTCGTGTTGCTCAAACACCCTTTTCACGACGAGCTTGATTCCTGCCCTTAAGATTCATCCCTGAAGGTGAATTTTGAAATTCCCCGTAAGATGTTTAAAAGATTTACTGTTGCCATCCGTCTATCTGGAATTCACAGAGTGGACGTGGAAACCTTTATGTATGCATGGCCAGCTGTTGTTTGTCGCCAAATCCATGCTGTTCTGTCAGTTTTTTTTTTCCTACAAAGAAGCATATGGCTGGATGACTTTCCATAGGACGTTGTATACTCATTCAAAGTTATGTGGTTTTGTGACGCAAAGGAGATGTGTTTTTGTTTTTTTGTTTCCCTCCCCATCTGATTAGCCATTCTAAACGTTTTACAGGAAAGTCCATCAAAGACAGACAGCTCTTGTCTTTGGACAATTTGGCCCCTGTCAGCCATGACAGGAGGCTTTTCTTTGGTGTAACTGTGCAACGTTTTCATTCTCCTCCCTTTGACGAACACCATCATTGTTCCCAGATGAGCTGTCTTCCACTGAACACCTCATAGGCCACGAATGACTCCATCACCGAGCTAATGACTTCATCTCATCTTCCCAGCCATTTGTGTCAAGAAAAACTTTTAGCTAAGCTGATTAATGTGTTTCCACTTAAAGATAACTTAATTACTTGAGATGGCTTTGACAAGGTGGAGATATGTTTGGTTGCGTAGTACTTTTCAGCCTACAAGCTTCCATGTCAAGGTTAAACTTCCGTTGTTATCTGTGCGTGGCTAACAGTTACTGCAGCGTCTGTGCTGGTGTTTTGGAGGTTTTACATGCACGGAGAATGTGAACACTGATGTGCTGCGTCCCTGACCTGAACAAAGGACATGCAAGAGATAGGACTAGAAATTGTATCTTCAGTACCTGACTTTTTGTGCTTAAACAATACATATTGAGATTCTTCCTTTTACAAAATAAAAGCACATTATTCAACTTTAATTCAAGTTCCAGTGATTAGTGTTGTCTCCTCAGTTCTGCTCATTTACAACAAAACTGTATTCTCATCTGCAGTTAGGAAGAAACACATGTTAGCAAGTAATAGGATATGCTTTTACTTTGAAAAGTCCAAATCAGGAAGTGGAGGCATACTTTCAGGCAAACTGGTGTCCCATCTGGAACTGTTGTTTTTACGTTTTTTTTGCTACCTATTTAGTTAGGTTTAGGCACCAAATCCACTTGGTTAGGTTTTAGGGGAAAAAAATCAAGGTTTGGGTTAGCATACGACACTTTCACAATTGATCGGCTGGAATAAGTTTTGTAATTTTATTAAGACAGGACTGGTCTGTCAGAGCATATTAATAACGGTGTTTTACAGCTTTTTGTGTTGCACCTCTGGGAGTTTAGTTCTGATTAATAGGTAATACCGTTGAAAGAATCGGATCGCGCATTAGGGCCAATTTTAAACACTTGACAGTTACTGATTACTGAGCAACTGAAACAGTACAAACGTAGTGTGGTTAGTGCTGAAACAATCACAAGGTTCTATACTTGGAGTACCAGCAGTACTTTGTATCTTTAGTTTTCCCATGAATAGTGACTTGGCTTCAGTCGAACATGTTTCATTTGAAACTTGATGAAAGTTTTCCTCAGTTGCTTTTTCATGTTTATTCTTTGTCATGCGGCATCCATTCTAGAGGATCTAGTACTGAATAGTTCCATTGAGGTTGTGACACCTCAGTGGTTTAATAATTGAACTGTGCAAGTTTTTACAAAACAGTAAATTTAGGTAAGTACTTTCTTCCTCTTTCAACCACTTTTTTTTTTGTAGATATGCTTTGTTTTAAGATCTTAGTGTCGAACATCAGAAGACGTGCATGTTTTGTCAGCCTGCAGCTCCCATAGGTAAAACCCGAACACTGTTCCTTGCTCTTTGTTTCTAAGAGTCGAGGAATGGTTTATGCATGATGATAGTCAATATGCCTGAGAGCAACACCTCACATCCCTAAACTGCACTAAAGATTGTGAACAATGTGGTGTTTTGATGTCGCAAAAGGCTTCACGTTTAGCATGAAGGAAAGAAAATTAGAAAAAAAATTGATAGGTAGAATCTTCAAAGGTCCGAGGAAGCGTCCTTGTCCAGGAAAATGACAGATTTGCTTAAATTTCACCTCTGCAGAGAGAGTGGGGGGGTGAAGGTTAAAGCTTGAGAAGGCTGAATCAACATTTGGCGTTTCTTTCTGACCCCCCTTCTCTTTTATCCACTCTTCTCCATGTCCTGAAAGACAGTATATTTATGAATTATTTATCTATGTTTGAAAATGTTAAACTTGTGATGTCCTTGTCCTATGTCTTATCTCCAAGGGCATCATAAGAAGCTGTAAAGAGGAAAGCAAAAAAATCACAAAAGATATAGAAGGCACAGTCATAAAATAGCCTCTGACAGCATTTAAATCTTGGTACATGCATATGACAACAGTTATGTTTCATCTTGGGGAGAAGTGTTTGACTGTATCATCGGATCAATCTGGATTGTTTATGTCCCGCAAAAAGCTTCTTTGAGGCTGTGGAGATATATCAACTGAATTTTTGCTTTGCAATTCAGCATCAGTGTGGCGTCTGATGCTTAACTGAAGCAGAGGTGAAGAAACAGAGATGTTTTCGTCAGTTATTTTACTCACTAAAATGTAATCCAAGGTTAACTGATTGAGGATTTGTTCCCACCGTTGATTAATTGCTGAAGTATTTCATCTTTCTAGCCCCTTATATCCTTTTTTGGGGGGCGCTTGAACATGTTTAATTACTCATTTATGCCACACAGGCCTCTACTTCCCTTTCATTTCACCCTTGCAGTGATTAGACAGGGTTGCACCATAGTCTAGCGCTCTGCTTGCCAACCTTTGCAGCTTGTAACCCTTTACAGCCAAGCAGTGCATCCATATATCTATGAGCCGTGTGCAGCTCGGCGTAGAGTGATGTTATCATGGTTGTCACCGATTGATTTTTCAGCTAATCACGTAACAGTTTCAGCTCCAATCTGGCATTCACAAGGCTGGGTAACACTGTAAAAGGGTGTGTGTCACTCTGTTAGCATTGTTTTTCTATCTGTGGGGTCCTTCTGCAAACGTGGCATCACTACTACAAAGAAGCTTACCTGATAAACTCTAAACTGCAGTTAAATGTATACGTAGATACCACACCTCGTATAGGCAGGTGTGGATGCACAGACTGGGGAGATTTGTTTGAATAAAAACTGCAGTGTGTGTTTGTTAACAATAATAACGACTGACAAGAGTAATAAATGTCACAAAAGAAACAGACATTTGCAAAAAAAAAACTTTCATCCCGGGGAAAGGGAATTGTCAGTGATAATATTTCTAAGCAAGCACCAAGCAGTGAGAGCGAGCGTTATGGGAAGAGAAAATAGCACATCACCCCCTGATAGTAAACATACTCCCTTTTATTATTATTATTATTTTCTCCCTAATGATAGTGTACATTATGAGACTTTTATCCTATCTTCGAGCACCAGTTTCTGCTAGTGGGGGACATTGTAGCCGTTCCTCTGCGTTTCTTGCCATTTGTTTGCTAAAAGTATTTGTTTGCAAGATGAATTGCTGCACTGGCAGGCAAGATGACAGGCTACATGAAGATGATATTGAATTGATTTCTGAAATGTTGCAGAACGGACTAGTTGATGTGTACCACGAGACATGAATAATAAAAATTCTATTAAAAAGCTCTTGAATGGCTGACACTGGAATATTATTTGTGATGATTAATTTTCTTCAGTCATTATAAAGGGGAGTTGGCATCAGATTGCCTCTGACAAAATTGCTTTTCACTCCCTGGTGAATACCCTCAGCATGCTTTTTGAGCGCACGAAACCATATTTCTCACTGCAATATTATGTCAAGATAGGCTCTGGAAAAGACACTGCTCATGTATCACCTTATTAGCGCCATAAAATCTGTGCTGTTTTAGCTGCCGGGGGGTCATTTGGATATTCTGCATACATTTCATAATGAGGACCGGGAGGTTTGTTTCTGTTTTGTGAAACTATGATTGGCATTATAATTTTGAGATTATAAAATCGCCACTAAGTGACTGTCAGTGGTGTTTTTCCACGTAATAAATTTGATTAACTGTATTTTAAAGGCGTGCAGGTTGACAGTGTGTTGCTTCAAAGCTGTCAAGAGCTCCGCAGCAAATTATTCCGTACAGCAGCTGTTGTTGTCTAACTCGTAATTAATTTGCTGTGTACATTTGTGTTTGAATGAATTCTTTACACTTTTGTAAGCGCAACAATTTGCATTTCTAATTATTTTTATTTTCAGGCAAAAACAGACTGAAACGACTGCTGCCGCTTCCACGTCTGCAAACACGAATCTAAACAAGAAGAATCAACAAGTGCATTTAAGAGCTAATTACGAAGCTTTTAATTACTCTGGAACATCTTTTTGTTAGCTGCTTCTTTCCGAGATTGTCACTGAAGTTCAGTGAAATAGCAGCGAGAACGTCTGATGAGCGAGTTTCTCTTTGTTTTCGCTGAGATTCAAGTGTTGAGACAAGGCTTCTGTTTTATTTATAATGCGACTAACTGTGACACTGTTTTGAGATGCAGGTACATAGGTTTTTATGTTGTCGTGCTGCATTCACGCTGCGCTCTCGCCAAGAAATGTAAAGTACTGTAGGTGGGCAATCCACTCCAAATTACATATGTGTCTCTCTGTGTTTCTGACCTGTCCTGGCATTTTTCTTTGAAATTACAAATTACCTTCTAGCAATTCCTAAAAAAAAAATGCAGCAAAAACAATGACTAATGGGTGCACTTTCCTCCTTATCCTAGGCTAAAATATGGATTCCTTTCTTTTCTCTCTGCTTTCTCAGAGCTATTCCAGTCAGGGCAGAGGCAACAGCGGCGGCGGCGGAGGAGGAGGAGGAGGAGCAGGGGACGAAGACTACGAGATCCCCCCTATCACACCCCCGAACCACGCTGACCCTTCCCTGCTCCATCTCATGGAGCATGAGTCAGGTTACCCCTTCCACTCCCTGCCTCACAATGGCTTGCTCAACACCTACTCCTACCCCGAGCTGCCCGCCCTCATGATGTCCAACATGCTGGGTCAGGACACTCACCTCCTCTCTGGGCCTATGCACTCGGTGAGCACATCTCTTTTTTGTCTGTCTCCTTTTAGCTCTGGGCCCTTTATGATCATGCGAGTCAAGCGCTGTGGTCGGCTATTAGTCTTCGCGGTCAGAGGGTTGGAAGTTGGCCAGCGAGTCAGCGCCGAGAATATTTCGTCTGAAGGTTTCACATGTTCTTGTTATAGAAAATTCTGTGTTTAAAAAAAAATAAAAAATAAAAAAATCTTATGATGCGACGCTGGAGCTTATATAAACAGCAGCAAAATGGTAAAATGACCAATTCCTCTGCTCTCATAATAGCAAAACCGTTCATCTATTAGGGTGATAATTAGGTTTGGTTAGAGGCCAAGGAAGCTGAGACACCCAAGTCTTGAGCGAGGCCAGAGTCTATACATGCAACATTTATAACCGCCTCCTTAACACTCAGACCTTTTGCAGCAAAGCTTCTTTAATATCTATACAGCTGCATAGCTCAGAGATTTCATTGCCTCAAAGTGAAGCCAAGAAAAGGAGCGAGGAACTTGGTGCTGCACATTTTCATCCGTTATGATCGGCAAAGCGAAAAAAAAAATAAAAAAGGAAGCAGGGGAAGGATGGGTGGGAGGCAGGTTTTGAGCAGAAAATCTTGATGGGGAGGGGGAATATCCCTTGTCAGCGAATATTTCACTTTTCAAAAGAATGCTGAGGACCCTCATTCCTCCCCTTCCCACCTCCAGTAAAGGGACTTTCTCTTGTGTTAAACAGGCCTCAGACCGAACATGTAAACACCCCTGGCGAACACATTCAAATGCTTTAATCATAGGATCAAATCAGATGAATTATAGATGGCCTGTGTGGTGAATTATTCAACGTTATATACTTTCATCTGACATAAATATTACTTTTTTTCTCTCTGCCCCCTGCATCATGAATATTTATGCTTTAATGTGAGCATCCGTGGCATTTATCCTCCGTTAATCAGGTCTTATGTGATTTTCAGAATCAAACCGCATAAGTTGCAGGCTTCGTTTTTTTTTTTTTTGCTGTGGGTGGTATCTAAGGCCTCCATTAAAGCCAGTCTTCAGGATTAGGTCACAATCCAATGGCTACTGTGCTGGATATGCTTAGTGCAGGAAAGTGTAAGGTGCTGGCTGACTGGAACATTTACAGTCAATCTGTGTTTAAGTGTCGATAGATGCTTTAGCAATAGTTTGATGATAACACATATGCATGGGGTGCATAAAGTTTATCCGTGCACAAGTGTGTGGAACAAAGCAGCTCTTCTTTTCGGCCGGCAACATTTCTGAAGCAAACAGAGAGGGAGTGCCTGCTTCTTAAACAGCTTTTGTTTCACCTTTGCAATTATTTATTTTCAAATAGCCCTTCAGGGTAATGTTCCATTTTCTTATTTCACACCCCCTTTTCTCATAAATGAACCGTCATTGCAATAAATCACCGCACAAACAGAGACTTGCACACACTGTGAAAGGTCCAGAGATTTATGTAACACATTCATGTTTCCCACTTCCACATTTTAGTACTACTCTAGCAGAGGCTGGCTAATAATAGCCGCTATTAATATTTCTTGTTGCCTAGCAACCCCAGCAAGTAATAGCTTACTCTGGAAAAATAGATGACCGATAAGGAAGGAGGAGGAGGAGGAGGGGGGTGGGGGGTGCTTTGGAGGGGAAGGGGAGGGGGGGATTCAATTCATTTATTATCTCCTGGGACAAGAGGAGCTTATTTCTGAGGCTGAGGAATAGGAAAGGAGGCTGTATATTGAGAAATATTTTAAAGCAATTGGAGATGACGTTATTTTCATTTTGGTTCCATTAGGGATGTTTCATTTGATGTTTCCCCGGCAAAGTCAATTAACCTTAATTTCATACTGATAAAGGCATAATAAGGAAGATTGAATTTGTGTCGGCTGCATGCTTAAAGAATAATAAGGGTTGGATGAAAATAGGCTCTCTGTGTAACCCGGGTCAGAAATGAGGAGACAAGCCTTTACCTTTGTTGTGTTGTATTGACGAAAGCCTCGCAATAAACTCACAAAATTGGAAGAGATGGCTGCAAAACCAAAACACTAATCATTCAACGGTCTTCTTTCACCGCCGCCGAAGAAGCAAATAAAAAGTCGACAGTGTTACCTTAAGGATACACTTCTCTTCAATAACAGCTATCCTTCACCGCACATTTAAAACCTCCTACAAGTACAAGCTCAGCTGGAGCAACAGATACGCTTCATCTCGAGGGATGTTGTTGCTGGTTTTTGTACAACATTTAGCCTAAGGCTAAAGCTCTGTAAACTTCTCCCTGCTTTGGGATTCTCTTTTTCAGCTTACATCGATCCTACAGCAAACACAGCTAAATCATTACAGGGTTGAGAGCAGTAGATTGACCATCATCATGCTGCATGGGCACATAATTTTGCATCAGTTTGTCCTTGCAGCCTTAGACTGTAATTTATGCTCACTTAAAGTAGACTATAGAATAAGCTTGAGTTTTTTGACCTACAGAAAAGCATATGTCTCACCAAGAACCCTGTTTTTTTTTTCCTGCTACACAACCTATTTTCAACATCTAATTATCAGGATATAGCAGAAATGTTAGCTGGTATCAAAAGGTGTGTAGTAAATGAGACAAAATAAATGAAAAAGCATGCATTGAGTATTAGGCGAACTTAGCAGCGTATTCGTGTGATACATTAAGGTTGTTTTTCCTCTATTTTAAACCGACAGATGTAGCATTTTGTTTAGGTGCAGGGGTCGATCCTTTCGGCTGCAGTCGCGTGTTGTTTAGAATAATCTCAACTGCCAGTTACTTGTATTTGAAATTGCACCTTTGGGCAAACCGAAGCATCAAAACCGGTGTTATAAAAGACGGAGCTGTTCATCAGAAATGCTCTTACATTCTCATAACTCCTCCCCAAACCGCTGACCTACTCAGTCATCTTCTCTGAACTGAGGCAGAAGCAGCCGAGGCTTGGATGACTGGATACTGTGAAATGTAATATGCTGTCGTGTGAATGCTCATCGGCGAGGGAGAATCCCTGTCTCACCCGTAGCTGTCAGCGTTTGTGCCATCCCTCTGGGGAGGAGGTGGCACCCGGGGGTCTCGTGTTCAACAAGCCCCTTGATGGTGCAGGTCTGGCTTGACGGTACAGCGTCGTGTTGGGTTGGGGTGGAAGACGGGGGGGGGGAGGCTAGCTCTTTGAAAAAAATAAATAAATAAAGGAGTAGGGGACCCTCGCCAGCAGACTGTAATGAGAGGTCGAGGAGGAGTTTGTAGAACGGCCCCAACGTGGAGCCTTGAGGGGTGCCAGTGCGTTTAAATATTGAAACAGAGCACCAGCCCCTGTCTCATTACCAGTGTAATGAGGCTGGTTAGGCAGAAAGGAAAGCCCCAGTCGCTGAGAAAGCAGCTGCCAGTTTTACAAGTTTATGTCACACATTCAGTCAGATGCTTCCTGGTGGGAATGTTGTTGAGTTTTGTTAAATATGTGGTGCTAGATTAGTGTTTTTGGCAGGGCGATGTGTGAATTTTTAACATTCTGCTGTGACTAGTCATTGTTGGAAACATGATTTCTCAATTGAAGTTTGTTTTTTTTTTTAAAGATTATTTTTAAGACTGCACAACATAGTTAAATAAATTATGTTTTTTTTTTGTCCACTTGTGGGTAGAAGGAGTCTGCAGCAAGCTCAGAGACACATCGCCCCAAACAAATTTGCTTTCACATCTTGGAGCAACATAAGCATTGATTTAAAGCTGTAATACATCCAATATTCACTCTATTTTTCAGCTGTGGTCTTGGTTTGGTAGTTTTTGATTCATATGTAATATAAAAATATTGATTTGTAGAGCTTTAACTTTTGGAGAGAGAGAGAGAGAGAGTGAGAGAGAAAAAAAAAAACGACCTAATTTCAGCCTGAAGGCATTAGTTCGTGTCTGTACATTAGTGCCCGAGTTACAGTGTGTTTGCACTCTGGCACTGTTTGTACAGCATGTGTGTGCTCAGAACAGTGTGTTGACTATGTGTGTTTCCAGGATCAGTCTTTGTCAGAGTCACTGATTGCTACAAGGTTATGTTAGCTTGATTTAATTTGACTTCATTTAATCTGCGAAAGGAAATTTATTTTGCATCACTTGGCATTTAGGACATAGACAGCGAGGGGGGAAAAAGGCCGTAACAATTTTAAAGCGGTGACATAAAAACTGTATTGACAGCTGTGGTTATTGACAGTGTAGGGATAGTCGAGGGGTCAGAGTTAGATCATCAGCAACGTGTAAGAGTTAAGTAGAGATATTCAGTGAGGGAAGTTTAGAAATAAACACAAGCGTATAATGTGTTTATTCAGAACAAAGAGTGAAATTCATTCAGTGGCCTAATGTCTATTAGGCTCTGACTGACAGCTTTGCCCAAATTAATTGTACTAATTGTGCAAATGCATACCGAAACAACACAAATGCTCACTGTACGTAGGGAAAATGTTCACCTGCTGTGATAAATAAAGCACACAAGCTCATTTACACTCATTCGTGGGCATGTGCTGCCTATGATGAACACA